GTGCAGGAACCACATCAGCGTCAAGCAAGGTGACATCATTCCTGGAGGACGAGCTTCGCTTCAAACAGTTGTTGTGAAATATTGCCTCATAAACCCTAATTTGTTTATATTCTGAATCTGGCAAAGCATGGGAAGAACAGTAGGATGATTTTAAAAGTCAGAAATATGCTCCTCTGGGGGAGGGAGTTAAAAGACGCATGTTCTCTCACACATTTTAGACTAGTTGGTGTTTGGTCAGAGGCGGTTCAGCCCGGTTTGATCCTGCTGAGACTCCGGAGCTGCAACGTGTAGCTGAGAGTGTAGTAGACTATAGAGAAACGTGTTTTTAAGCTGGACATTTTACATCTGGTTGATTTTATTTTTCTAAAAAAAAAAAAAATCCCATTTGGAACAATTAAATTGATTTTAAAACAAGGCGTTTGTAGAGCCAGAAAAAGGGAAATACGATTATGAAATAATACCGCAGCAGCCACGAGTGAATACCCCGATGCTGACTTGTATGTTTTGCAATTTACCTAATTTCAAAGTATATTATTGTGCTTAAACTTAAGGTTAAATGTTTTTATGTGTTTAATGTGTGATTAATTTTTTTTTTTTTTTTTTGGTCACGATGATGGATGAGGAGGAGTGATCTAATCTCGCGAGATGTGGCTGCAGCAGCGTGAATTTGCAGAGTTGAATGAATAAACCCAGATCAGAACAATAGATGCTGCTTCTAGAGACAGCTAATTAAGTCAATTTATTAGATTTATGTTAAAATGAGGATGCCCTGTCATTTTTTAAACCAAGAAGTGGGCTAAGCACATTTTAACATTAAAAGAAGGGATCCAGTTTGAAATATTTGACATGATGTATCATATAGCCCCAAGTTACAATAGCTTTTGTTTTTTTGTTGAAATGTGTGTCCTATTTTGATGATCTGCGAATTTTTATTTTTTTTATTTATACATTGTACAAATGTCAAACAGAAAGAGTAGCAACTTGATTACCCATCACTGTTTTAGAACCAATTCATGGCCGGAAGAAACTGTAATTTTGGGGGGACAGTACCAAGAGGATAAAGAGATAATTGCACCCCAGTTTCAAGGTGACAGATTATTACTCAACGTAAAAAACATGAAGGACATCTTTTAAGAAAAAGACCTAAAAAGCTAAAATATATGCTATTTGACAGTCAGATAAACTTTTTCTCCACTCCACTGCTCATCAACAGCTCAGCTGTAGAGGTGGTCATTCCTGGGGGTGCACATCACAGACACCCTCACCTGGTTTATGAATGCCACCCCACTGGTTAGGAGGTGACAGAAGTGCTTCTACTTCCTGCGGAAGATGAGGAGAGCTCACTTACCCACATTCATCCTCATGACCTTCTACAGAAGCCCAATAGAGAGCGTTCTGACCAGTTGTCTCACTGCGTGCTGTGGAGGCTGCAACGCCTCAGACTGGAAGAACATGAGAAGGCTGGTGAGAACGGCAGAGAGGATAATCAGGGCGCCACCCCCTCCAGTAAAGATATTTCATCCCAGTGCTGCGTGTCCCGAGCCCGTAACATCATCCCCCTCACACCCCCACCATAGACTGTTCTCGCTGCTGCCCTCTGGGAAGAGGCTTCGCAGCATTCGATGTGCGTCCAGCTGGTTCTGTAATAGCTTTTTCCCCACTGCCATCAGACTGTTGAAAAAAAACAAAGCGAGACTCTGCATCAAACTGATAACATCATACCAAATAGAACCTGCATTTTTGTACAATATATATTTGTTTTTGCACTCCTCTGAACTACCACATTCCACGCCTTTTGCACAATCTTTCTCTCCTACATTGTTTACATTTTGATCACTGCTGCACTTTATGAACTGGAAGTGTTTCTTTTCACTGCTAAACTGCTGCTCATTCACCATCTGAAAGCTTTATACAACAAAAATTTCATTTTATAAACACTCTGTGTATACAAAATGACAATAAAGTTGTCTAAGTCCAAGTAATATTTTAGAAGGCTTTTTGTTATTAGGTAAGGTAAGTCTTAGATTTATGTTTATAGTAGCTTGATAAAAGTTTTGGGGGGAAGCAAGGATTATATTTTTACAACGTTTACTACATTTCTTTGAATAGGATTTAACATCCTGTCTCCATCAAAGCTCCAAGGTTACAACAAACCCCAAAAAAGTCAGAATGACTCTTAAAGATTTACAGAATGGTGCCATAAACAAATTCCATTAGGCACCCAGTAGCCTATTTACTCAGGGGTCATCAGTGGTTATCATCAGTGGAGTTTTTATGACTCCTCAGATAAGGGCCGGTTTGTTTGCATTAAGAAATCATATTTCGAAATGGCAAAAGAACATTTTTAACAAAAAAGAAATGAAAAGGTGTTTTTTTTTTGTTTTTTTGCAAAAGTATCACTTTTAATATTTTTATATTAAATATATATATATATCTTGTTTCCTATCAAACAAACAGTTTTAGTGAATGAAATAATTAAACAAAATCTAAATCATCAATAGATATGATATATACCCTCTGCAGGCTATGCTCTTTGAGTAAGTTAAATGTTATTTATAGGTTTGTTCAGCTGCTAACCAAAGCAAATGGTTTAGTTAAAGGGTGTGCAAACAGGTTTGTGTAGCTTTATATTTTGTTGTGAATTGGCACTACTTAAAAAACTCGAATTGCTTCCAATAAATCCTGTGTAGAAAAATGGTATAATTGCTGAGTTCAAATATATTTTTAGATATGTCTTCCCTTAAAGAGCGTGTCTACCCCATACTTGCTCTCGCCACTAGCAGAAAGAAAGTAGTTGTTCTGCACATAAAGAAGGGTGGGAGGATAATTTCTCCCAACCGACACAGCTGTCCCTAGATGGCGTTGGTAAACAATAGCCATCATCAAATGATGTGTTATAATTCAAATAAACCATCATTTATCGATCGATAATATTAGAAAAAGACTTAAAGTTGTGGTTTCTTTGGCATGTATTGACTTTTATTCATTTCCTATGCCTGAGGGGGAGACCACGCTGTTTTTTTCACCAAAAAGCTCTCAGCAGGGCTGGTCTGAACCGGTTCGGAGAATGCGCGCTCTCGTTCACCCTGCAGACGTCTCGCTGCATTCCGCGCGCGCCACCAACTGCTTCGACCCCTCCCTTTCTGCCCGTTACGTTTTCTCTTTCCTCATTGGTTGAAAGGACGCACGGGTACCCGCCTTTTCCGCTTGCTGCGTGGACACCGAGGTTATACACGAGTCGTGATTGGTCATCTGCCATCCGAGCCTTTTGTTTTGGGGAAGGGCACGAGACCTGGAGGAGCGGAGTTGTAAACTAAAGCGCGTGCATGTTTCAGCACCAATACCGCGTGGATAGCAGCCAAACGGACGGAGCAGATAGACACAGTTGTTAGGTCGGTTAGCTTGTTTATGTCGTGCGGTTTTTGATAGTCGCTGTTGTTAAATTGACGAAAGATAAACTTTTTTAGCAGCGGCTGTGGCTCCTCAGGCGGCGAGGCTTTAGCTTTGTTTGCCTCGGCGGCAAAAAAGCTGCGTCTCGATTGAAAAGGAAGTATAAAAAATCCAATTTTTCTTCAACATTATTTCGAATAAGCTTTTATTTGTAGGGGTTCGACGAAGACCAGATGGCTGCAAGCTACGGAAAACAAAGGTGATTTTTTAAAACACTTTTCACCCCAGCCGGTTCGGTCCAGCCAGCGGTTGAGCAAGTGGTGTTTTTAAGCCACATTCCAGCCCGCTCCCACCGCTTTGCCTCCATTGTGAGAGCATCTCTGCCGCCCGTGATCCCGCGCTCACACCTGCCTCCCACCCCCCTCTCCACTCCACTCCACGGCTGTGTTTTTCGGCTGCTTCGTTGATTCACTCCACATTCCAAATGATGTGTTCTCGGGTTTGGTTCGTGACCGACCGGCGGATCAGCCAGGAGTACCCCCAGGTCCAGATCCTCCGGGCTCTGAAGGAGCGCTGCGCCGACGAGGACGTTGAATTCCGCTACCTTCTCATGGATCAGATCGTGCTGACGATCAGCGAAGGCCAGCTAGGCAAGTATCACTCAATGTGTCGTGTCTAATTATGTTCATTATGTATTTAAATTAGGACATGTAATGAAATAAAGCTCAAAGAAGGGAGTTATTGTTTCGATCAGTCCGGTGCCACGCAGGGCTTGCCTGGTCTGCGCAGCAATGACCGCCTAACCCACTTTCCTGCTGGATTGTCTGCTGACCGAGGAGATCACGCCTGACTTAAATTCTGCTGATTATGCCGCTTTCCACGCAAATATGAGCTCTTGGGGGAATGCTCTTTCGAATGATAAAGAAATATGACACTATCCAAGGAAATCCAAATTTTGCATCACAGTTTGGATTTTGCATTTTTTAGTTTTTCATAACTAAAAGAAAATCATTTGTCATGCACTATAAGAAGCTAATGCATGTTGCAGTCAGCATCAGAGGCGTAGCCAGAACATTTTTTAGAAGGGTGCCCAGGCAATAACCAATGTACACTGAAGGGTGGCTGAAAGTGGATTGGCACCAGAACCTTAGGGTCAATCTATACTGATCCAACAGGAAAATGAACAACCACAACAACCATATTTTCCAAATATAAACAAGGTATACTTTCCTACAGCCTTTACTAACGGATAGATATATATTTAAACATCCATCTAGATAAAAGGTATAGTGGATGAAGTTCTTTCAGGTTTGAGTTCTGGGTCGAACATCTTTTTCATTGTCATTACTTACCTACTTATATCAATAATCATTCTGCATAAAATTTATATTTACAAGTACTAATATCTACCAAAAAAATTTGGTTTACTAAGTTTTTGTTAGAGTAGTTATTTATCTATGATTTAACTGAAGACTGACTATAATCTATGAAAAGTTAACATGTTTGGAAAATTGAGAGTATTACTGTAGAATCACTTGAGCGTATTACTCCTCCCACTGTCAGTATTATGAGGACAAGAATGGTAAGGGTGACCCTAACCCCCAGTCCCCCCCCCCCCC